TATATAAAGAAAAAAATTGCAAGCCTATTGAATTCTTTTCTATCGTTCGTTTCACTGGCACTTGAACAAGTAAATACAGACTTTTTCCTGCACAACACATTGAAAAATTAGTCTAAAAATAAACGGTAAAACTTTTTAAAACACCTACCTGTGACAAACTTAATTGAGACTAAATCATATCAATACCATCTTACTGGCACCACGCCATCCACTTTTTGCTTCTTCCCATTTATATTTTCTAGCTAAACAGCTGCAGATGTATATATATGTATATATATATATATATATATATATATATATATATATATATATATATATATATATATATATATATATATATATACATATATAATATATATATATATATATATATATATATATATATATATATATACATATATAATTATATATATATATAATTATATATATATATATATATATATATATATATATATATATATATATATATATATTTATATATATATATATATATATATATATATATATATATATATATATATATATATATATATATATATATATTTATATATTTATATATATATATATATATATATATATATATATATATATATTTATATATATATATATATATATATATATATATATATATATATATATATATATATATATATATATATATATATATATATATACATATATACACTATACACTATAACATATATAAGTATTTATTATGTGTATTTTACATATTACTTTATTACATAGTTTACAAAATAAACTCACTTACCGAAAATAGTTGATTTTTAATTAAATTTCCTATGTAAAAACGTTTCACATAAAAAAAGTTTTATAAAAGTATTTTGTAAACAAAAAACGGGCCAATCAGAACGTAACAAAGTATCGTAGTTACGATACTGTGGATTGAAACCTCTTTGTTAGGTTCTATTGGCAATAATTATTTTCAATTTTCTTCAGCAAAAAATGATTTCCTTATTAACAACGAAAGTTGTTCTTAAGTAAATAATAATTTGTTTGTTATAATTATAACAAGCTAATTATGATTTGTTTATTAACAACTTAAGTTGCTTCCCAGTGGGAAACGTTAGTGAATTTTCTCTTCCCCCTCCCAAAAAAATAAAAATTTCTATTGGGTGCTATTTAATTTAACATTTAAATAATTTTTTTTTAAATCATCGCTATAAAAGAGGTCTTTTCTACGTCTTATCGAAGGCGTACAACCGATTGACGTCTTTTCGAACTCTTTTTTGAAGACGTCTTTTCAAAAGACGCCTTTTTCGCGTCTTTATTTAGGCTGATTATAAAAAAAAAAACAAGTCATAAAAAAACGTATTTTATTCGTCTAAAGATATATTTTTTTCCCATTGGGTAGTAGATCTCGATCGGTCCGTCGCTGGTTGGCCTGTTCTGGTGTACCAGTACAGGAATAATACTACAACATTTAAGCTAGTATAGAAATTTAATAAAACCGTTGTTGAGTCTGCTCTTATGGGTCATTTGCGGACCTGCTTTAGGCCAGTACGGTTTTGCCATTTTCGGACAGCTGATATTCTATCACTGGCTTGCCAGTTGCAGACCATTAAAACACCAGCACTGCGCGTGTTTTAGCAACCCAGTGCTGGACCTTGACAAAATCAGTGAGCATATTGTTGCAGGCCCCCAATGCTGGTCAGCCGGTTACGGGCCGTTTTCTCAACCTACGTTGGGTCATTGCCGGACCGGTATATTGTTGCTAATAGTAATAAACTTTATCTGACATCATTTAAGTGTTGCTATTTTACCAATTTATCTTTTGATTATATTTATTCTTTTTTTCCTAGGTTTTACTCTCTTTAAAACCTAACTAATGTTTCATTTAGTCTAATAGTTACCTAGTAGTAAGTCTAATAGTTACCTAGTGTAAAATAGCAGTTTTGAAAAAAACAAATTAAACATAAATATAAATATATATATATATATATATATATATATATATATATATATATATATATATATATATATATATATATATATATATACATATATTTAAATGTAGTAGTTTTGAAATTGGGTTTTAAAGTTCAAGATCATTGCATAAAATGATATTTTTATATTTTATATCACTTTTTTAATTATAATTTTTGTATAAAAATTAATTTATAGACACGCTTACTGTCAACAATAGTTTTATTGATGATTTATCCAAGTTCCATATAATGCATCTTTATTTATTCTTTGATTGCTCAACTCGCCCTATAAAAATGCTCAACCCCCTCATGTTTTTCATGTGGGGCGGTAAACTATTAAACTTACTATTGATTAATATCTTCTTAAAAAATATAAAAATGAACTTTTTTTTTAACAATATTTAGTAGAATAAATTATCTCTTCAATAATAAAATAAAAAGTGTAAATCCGACGCACCGTTTATAAGTTAGATTTAGTAAAAATTGCTCATAATATCATTATTATTTCTTCAATCCTAGTTTTGTAAAACTTCATTTTTGGAAAGTTTTTTACCAAAAACAAAAGTTTGGTTACTTACTTTCTCGTTTTGTTAACGCAGTTAATAAAACGCAGTTAAATAAACCACAATACTTTAATTGAATCAATTTTTATTTATATTTATAAAAGCTTTTCATGACAATTTCTTTGTAAACGTTACTTTTGTTTATTGTTGCAGCAGTTGTTACAATTATTGTAACAAAAAAATTAAAACTGATTGAAGTAAAACAAATTTATTTTAATAATGAGGTAATTAGTTTTAAGAAACCGTGGCGTAGTGGTTAGAGTTCTGGAACCAAGAGGGTCAGGGTTCAACACCGGTTCTGGACAGATAAGCAGCATAGATAAAGAAGGAGGTATGAACTTCATGGTTAATTGTTTATCCGCGGTGCTCTGTGATAAGGCTGTGAGGTCTCCTTATCACAGAGATACATACATGAATATTTTTTTGGTTTAAATTTAATTTTACACAAATAATCAGTGGTAGGTCAAATCAAAACAAAAAAGCATTTGTACATTTTGTTAAAAAATGTGTAAGAATTATTAAGGAGCAGACTTTTGCTTCTTGATGTTTTTTAATATTTAAATTTTATTGATTTTGAAAACTTAACTTTCTTTTAAAAAAAAAAACGAAGAGTATATTAAAGTATAAAAATTTATTTTCTGATAATTTATATGTTTTTCAAACAATCGCAATAGCAATAAATAAGTAAATATTTTTAAGAAATACTCGGTAAGTATATTTTCATATTTGCTCTTACATTTTTATTATTATTTTTTTTATTATTGTTAATGAGGTGTTCTAAGAAGTCCTTACGGTCTTATCACTGAGCACTGTGGAAGAGTATTTTACTAGGGTGTTCACTGCGGAATTACATTTAATTAGGGTGTTTACGCCTCTTTCTTTACCAATGATGCAAATTTGGCCAATTAAACTCTAATCACCACGGTTGCACTTTTTATTCTATTATAATTAAATAAATTAATTTAAAATTTGTTAAATATTTTTTTGTTTTATTACTTTATTAATTTTACATATTTTCTTTTTAGCAATTATTAGTAAAAATGTTTTAATCAATATTAAATAATTTAATTAATATATGCGAGAATGTAAGGCAATACTTAAAATAAGACCAATTAGTCTTTTGTAAGTTTCCCGCGTTCTTTTTAGAGCGACACAGAAGTTTGTTTATTATTTAAGTAACATCACCTTTGCGACACAGAAGTTTGTTTATTATTTAAGTAACCTTTGCGATTTTTTCTTTTCATATATATAAATATATTTATTATTATTGAATCTTTATTATGTAATCACGAATTTGTAATATTAAGGAACAAAAACTAAATAAATTAAAAAATTAAAAAGCATACATTGTTTATTAAACTCTCCAGCTCCAGGTTTGCCTTTAAATTTAAAAGTAGAGATTAAGGTTTGTTTTAAAAAAATTACTTAATTATATGTCACACGCTAAGGCGAGCAACTAATAAGATTCTTTTTTTAATGTGCTAAATATAGCTGTTTAAAATATAGCTATGTATCAAAGATAGTTATTACAAACTTATGTATCAAGTATTTTTGTTTGTTACAAACTTGAGTACCAAATATTTTTGTTTGTTACAAACTTGAGTACCAAGTATTTTTGTTTTCAGTTTTAACAATTGCTTTTTAAACCATTATTAATTGGCTATAAGTTTTAATTGTTAATATTGATTAAATCATTTTTACTAATAATTGCTAAAAAGAAAATATGTAAAATTAATAAAGTAACAAAACAAAAAATATCAACTACTTCAATTTACAATTAATTAGATAAATAAAATTAGTTTATGTTAATATACATAAATGTTAATAAATCTGTTAAGTATTTACTTACTAACTACCGGATACTATAGTAGCAATCACAAGCTTTTTCGTCCGGAACAATTCAGAAAACTTAAATGTTCCGGTTAAACGATTTAAAATAAAAACTAAAATATTTAAGAATTAAAGCTAAATATCAAGTTATTAGAAGTTATTATTTGAGTGCTCCATTTTATCGGAAAGCAAGAAACCTGGTACCAAAAACGAGATACTCGATCCAAAAGACAAGATACCCGGATACAACCAAATATTTGATACAAAAAATTAAAATTTTAGGTAGAGTATAATGTTTTTACATTTTCAAAAAGCAAATTCGACTTTAAGTTTAACTTTTTTCAAATTCAAATTCAAATCAAGTTTAACTTTTTTTTTCTTTCATTTTAGAAAAAAAAAGCATTTTTTTTCAAAATATTATTTTTTAATTTTACCTTTTTTTTATATATAATTTTATTTTATTTTTAGATCCTATTTATTACTTTTTTTTTCGCAGATTTAATTTTAAAATATTTTTATTAATATCCTAAATATTGTTAATATTTATATTACATATATTATTATTATTGTTATTATTGATACAAAAGGTAACCATTAATTGTTTAATTGGTTTATGCAAATAGATTTCTTCATTAAAAATCTATTATAAAAATATTTTAGAATGTTTATACTTTATTGTCTCCTTGTTATAAATGTCATTGGATTATCAATTTCTCAAAGTTCATCGATTTGGCCTTCAAAGTCTTTAACAATGCAACCGAGTGTGGCAATCGCTGGAACTATGCTACCTTTAGTATCTCCCGCTCGTTTGGTTGCAACGATTCCACCAACAGAAAAACTAGCATGCGATTTAAATCCTTGTTTTAATGGAGCAACGTGTACAAACCTTATTCCTCGAGATAAAAATTACAAATGCAACTGCGCAAATGGTTGGACAGGTGTTAACTGTGAACTTACAACTAGTGGATTTAAAGCAAAAACTGGATTTCAATATATCGAAGTAAAGAAATTAACTATTTCATCAACGTCATCAGTAAATATAATATATCTTTTACTTGATAACTCAACTGACTTGTTTAAAGAAACGTGCGACGTATTTAAAACCAACCTAAACAACACTATTTCTGCATCTGATCCGAGTATTTTACTATTAAATCTGAGATGCTTAAGTTTTACATTTTCAAGTTATTACTACGTTAACTATATCATAGACTTCCCAAATAACAACAACATTTCAACTCAACGTTTATCAAAAGCTATTGACAGTGGAATTCAACTTCATCAGAATAAAAATCTTTCGGCTGGTTTAGTGTATAATAGTACTATTATTGAAGATTTAGACGAATGTCAAAACTCTCCTGGCTACTGTCATCCATCTGCAATATGCTCAAACAATATAGGTGGATACACTTGCCTATGTCCTTCAGGATTTGAAATGCAATTTAATAAACAATGTCAAATAAGGAATAAAAACCTTAAAAACAATTTAACTATATTTTTACCAACGATTTTAGGAGCGTCTCTTTTGATAACTGTTCTATGTTGTGTTTTCAGAGCAGTCCGTCAAAAAAATCAAAGTTATGACTTGGCAAATGCATAAACTCTGACTTCATAAAAAAGTGGCAAGTATGGAAGTTGTGGCTTGATAGATATACAAGTTATGACAAAGTATGGCGAAGATATAAAAACAATAAAGCTACATAGTTACATCAATTTGTTCCTAAACAATCGCATGCAAGTTATTAAGAAATTATTCCTATGTAAGAGGTTAATTCTTGAAATGAAATTAAATTGTTAGCGAAGGAACAGCTTCTAAACGAGTGAATAAGTGATTATCAAACGATACAGGTATTAAAGAAAAGCGTCTGTTTCAAACGTTTTTTTTTTTTTTAAGTTTTTAAAAATATTTATTTTTGTGAGTTGTTTCTATAATAGAAATTTTATTATTTTATTGTTATTATTTTTTTGCATTTAATTTTTTCTAACGGTTTTTTGAAAGTTTGACTTAACTTAAAGTTTTTTTATTAATTAACTTCATATTATTTTTTTAAATCAATATTTATTCATATATATTTATTTTTTAATGTACATATAGATTTATATATATAGATACATAATGTTATGTGTATTAACATATGTGTAACGTTTATAACAATTTATAATTAATAAATATCGTTCCTTACTACAATTATGCTGCATTTTTTTTTGTGACTTTTGTAAAAAAAAAAAAAAAGAAGATAATTATTCATAACTTTTTAAAATATTAAAACATACTTCAAATACCATAAAAGCACCAAAGTAGAAGACTAAGTAAATAATTATTTTACAGCTTTTCCCAAAGAATGTAAAGCTTTTTGGTGGTTCAATTAGCTTCACCTTTTTTCAAAATGTTTCAAATTATTTTTTAGATTTTTGATTATTATAAACGATAATTTTCTAACAAAAGATAAAAAAGTTTACTTTTTTCATGAATTTTGTTTAATTTTTATTTTAAATAAAAAAACTATTAAAATTTTTTTTTATAATTTACCTCTTGAGATCCAACATATTAGGTAAAACACTTTTTTTTTTTGGCATTTTTTGGTCTCCTTTGGATCGGCAGAACTGGAGGTGGTACCCATTAATCCAATTACATTTTGGAAAAGTTTAATAGAGTTGCTATATATATATATATATATATATATATATATATATATATATATATATATATATATATATATATATATATATATATATATATATATATATATATATATATATATATATATATATATATATATATATATATATATATATATATATATATATATATATATATATATATATATATATATATATATATATATATATATATATATATATATATATATATATATATATATATATATATATATAGGGTAGGGCTGGGCAAGTTAGGCAATTTTTACTAAATCTAACAGATCTCTTAAACGGTACATCCGATTAACATAATTTTTTCACTACTAGAAAAATAATTTGATCTGCTAAAAAATGGTTGAGATAAAAAAAAGTTTTTTCGATTTGTTATAGAAAATATTGTCTAAAGTTTATTAGACTGCTTAACCTACCCTAGCGGGATAAGTTGAGCAATTGCGTAGGGTAAGTTGAGCAATAAAAAAATAAATGCATTTCAGTGACAACTATTAACACTGTTATAAAACCAAAACAAAACTTCCTTATAAATTAAATAGATACTTTCAATTTTAACAAATTATTTAAGATATGAATATCAAAACTAATAATTTTGATACTAAAATAAAAACAAAAGCAAAACTTTTTAATCTTAAAACTAAACATAACTTTTTTAAAACATTTTAAAACTTGTTAATATTATAATAAAATAATAACTAAACACTTTATGTTAGTCTTCAATTTCCATTTTGCAGTTAATAAAAATATAATTTTGACCAGAATGTGAGTCACATTTTGAATGAGACTATTGCAACCTTGACGATTTTGAATGAGACGATTGCAACCTTGACACTGGATCCAATTTTCTTCTGGTAGACTTTCAGAATAAGTTTCCCAACATACAAGACAAGCATAATCGTGTTCTGCACTTGTCTTTAATTTTTTGTCATCTTAGTTTTTTTGTTTGATTGTTTTTTAACTTTTTTTAATATACTAAGCAGCAGAGTCTCCTTATTACCATGATCTGCAAAGGATTGACTGCCAGAACTTTTTTTGGTTTCTTTAAAATTTTCCTTCTTCTCAGTTTTTTTGTTTGTTTGTTTCATAAATGTACTATGTAACTGAGTCTCTTTATTACCACACCCTTTATTAATATTTGAAAGGAATTGACAGGTAGATAATTTTTTTTGTTTCTCAACTTTTTTAGGTTTCTTAGTTTGCTGCTATTTTAATATAATTCTTTCTGGAGTATCTGTTAGTATAGCAGCTTTTCTTTTTCTTCTTCTTGTCAAATGTATCTTTCTTGGTGCTGCTTTTGGGTAAGGTTGCACAGTTTCTAGAGAAAATGCTTTAGGAGTTTCAGGAATAAGTAACATTGTCTCCTTATGAGTACTACTTTTGACAGATTGACCTGAAGATTATGTTAAACATACTTCAGAATGAGCTACGTGTGATAGCTCAGAAACAAGGTTTGCTGGTTCGATACGATCTGTGACAAATGATGGTAAAAAATTATCATCAGCAAAAATGTTTGCATTTTACGGGTATACACCAGTTTTTTGAAAACCCTTTGTAATGTTAGTACACTTTATAGCTAATGGCAATAAATCAGAAACAATTTTTGGTATATCATAAATTGTTATGGCTTTTCCAGGATTGTTTCTCAGCCATGCATCTTGTGCAACTGATAGGTACTTTTCAAAAGGTCCAAATACTGATACATCTAGTGGCTGTAGCTTATGGCTGTAGTGTGGTGGGAAAGACAACATGACTATTCCTTTCTCCTTTGCTAAGTTTAGTGTTTCAAAATGCAAGTGAGAAGAGTGATTGTCCAAAATTAACAGAATTTTATATTCATTTGAAGGCTTCACATGCCTAATCAAATGCTGCATAAAATTTTTAAATTCAATATCTGTAACCCAGCCACTTCCATTAACTACCCCAATACAGTCCGGTGGACCAATAATAACAAAATAATCTTTGTAATTTTTGCGAGGGAACACAAACATTGGAGGTACTGTATTTCCGGAGGCAGATACCGGCAGATAGCGGTTGCCATTGTGACATTAATGTCTCTTTCCCCAGATATCATAGCACCAACATTTCTCTTGCCCTTTGCAGCCACAATTTTGCTAGGTTTTATAACTGTAGATACACTAGTTTTGTCAACGTTCCATATTTGTGAAGCACTGAATTTGTATATATCCATAACTTCACCTAGCTTATCTAAAATTACTTTTACATTTGCTGCGTTAAATAATTGTACTTATAGATAATTGAAGATTTCTTTTTAAAAAACTATTCATCACTCTTTACCAGCCATCTTATTTACTGTCCAAGAATCTGGTATTTTGATTTTGTATTGAAGAGCACACTCATAAGCAAGAGATCGAACATCTTTAGGAGTATAGCCGTAAAATATAAATGCCATTTGCAATAAATAATTTTTTAAGGCGCTTTCTTCCTCTTGGGAAAAAAATAAATGTAGGTTTTGAATAACCCATGGATGGGTTATTCAATATCTTGCTAATATCATTCTCTTGATGTCGAATTCTTTAGCAGCTGCACTAACACTTTTTTTTTCGCTCCAAAACAGAACTTGCTGCATCACTAAGCTGTTGCCTTGTGAAGACACCATTTGAAATTTTTCTTTTATAATTACGCATCTTATTATATATACATATATATATATATATATATATATATATATATATATATATATATATATATATATATATATATATATATATATATATATATATATATATATATAATATATATATATATATACATATATATATATATATATATATACATATATATATATATATATATATATATATATATATATATATATATATATATATATATATATATATATATATATATATATATATATATATATATATATATATATATATATAAAATTAACTAAAACGCCAGCTCAACTAGATATGCCTAATTGTGTAGCTAATGAGAACAAAGATAGAATGAAGCGTGACAAAAATCTTATCATCTTTGGCATTCCAGCATCGACTAAAAAAGAACCTAGCGAGAAGCATGTAGACAATGAGAACATAATAAAAGAGCTCTTACCAACGTTAAAATTAATTCGGACAATATAATAAAATATTTTCGCTTACGGTAAAAATATCCAAATAAACCTCCACCTATTATAGTTGAGACGACAGACACTGCCACCAGAAATAATATGGTTAAAGCAGCCCGGTGTAAATTTGAAGGCATCTATGTTAATCCAGATCTGAAATTAAGGGGCAAAGGCAAGTCATTACTACGTTATTCGTAATAATGCTGTAGTTAAAGTAGATAAATAGCAATCAACAGTTAGTAATTTAAAACCATATAACGGCAATTTAAATATAAACGAAATTCTTTTAGAGCGTAAGTCATTTTCAACTAATACTCTACTACAACAGTCAGCTTTCCATAAAATACCATGCTGATATATCAATGCTACATCCCTTAACAATAAAATGCCAGAGTTTCTAACATCAACTGAGACATACAATCCTAAAATAATCTTCGTAACAGAAACTTGGTGGCATGAATCATCGATAATTAACATTGAAAACTAAATGTTATTCAGAAAAGATTGCGTGTCCAGTAAAGCAGTTCGGGTGGCTATTTATATCGACACTTCATTAAAACCTAATGAAGTAAGCGAAATTGTTTTATTAGATTCCCCTGAACAAATCTGGTGAGAAATATCATACGGGTCTGAACACATCCTTCTGGGTTACATATACAGGCCACACATGCTAGATCCACTCGAGAATATTGAAGCGTCCATTATTAAAGCAAATGAATTTCTGTCTAATATATACAGCGGCTTGTTGATTTGTGGAGACTTTAACTTGCCAGGGATTAACTGGGATTCAAGCAGTATTCCAACTGTGAGCAACACAGATACCTTTTCAAGTAATTTTATTG